GGTATCATATCTGTAAGGCTTTCCATAACATCCATTCCTGTCATATCACGTAACTTTTTGTGGAAGTTTTCTTAATTTCTTGCTGTAAATCATAAATCATTTGAGAAGAATTAGGGTGACCCATCAAAAGCATCTTAACCTTTTCCCAATCATACTTGCTATCATTGAACTTTAAAGGTATAATACAATAGGATATAACATCCAATCACATTTTAATTTAATCTTCTCCTTCAATATTTTTAACTGATCTCCCAACATAACAGCTTGCCTCACATCAGCTAATTCATTAACTATCCCATTATCTATTTTATTTTGGTCAGTCCAAAGTTCTGTAGAATGCTTATACCTGTCTCTAACAAACTCAGCAATTTGAATTTTTTTAGGAGGGCCACTCTGACTGTTGCAGCAGTAGCAGTCAATGCAATAATTCCAAAATAACAGCAATAATCTGTAGACAATTTTCTAAACAGTCTTATAAAATAAGAAACACAGAGCCAAATTGTAGCTAGAGTTTCCCTGCCTGGCCCACATTCAGGACAAATCTCTCTCACCTGCCAGTCCCACAGCCTCTCAGACCCAACCAAGTAAACACAGAGACTTATATTGCTTACAAACTGTATGGCCATGGCAGGCTTCTTGCTAACTGTTCTTACAGCTTAAATTAATCCATTTCTATAAATCTATACCTTGCCACATGGCTCGTGGCTTACCAGCATCTTCACATGCTGTTTCTCATCATGGCGGCTGGCAGTGTCTCTCTGACTCAGCCTTCCACTTCCCAGCTTTATTCTCCTCCTTGTCCCACCTATATTTCCTGCCTGGCCACTGGCCAATCAGTGATTTATTTATTGACCAATCAGCAACACATTTGACATACAGACCATCCCACAGCACCAAATACAGGGGTGCAAGCCGTAGAGATCAGAGTAATGGTGATAGCAACCAAACTAACCTTAGCTCACCACACTACTGTCGCTTCCCAAGAGAACCTCTTCCTGTCTGACCTGTGCCTTTATTTATTTATTTATTGCCTGGCTCTTCTGCCTTCTCATTGGTTCTTAACCTAGCCACCTCACTTTCTAGTCACTGCCTATCTACACAGACCTCCAGGTCTCTATGGTTTGTACTGGAATTAAAGGCATGTGTCACCACTCTGTGTCCTTGAACACACAGAGACTCTGCCTGCCATGTGATCAGATTAAGGGCATGTGCTACCATTGCCTAACTTCTCTTTATGGCTGGCTATCACCTCTGATCTCCAGACAAACTTTATTTATAAACATACAAATAAAATATCACATTTCAGCACAAATAAAATATCACCAAAGTCTTTTAGACTAAATCAAAGCCATCCTTTTATGGCATGTGTACCTTGATTGCTACTGAAGGAGCCTGTGCAATGGTACCCTAATAATTACAGCATTGCTTGTGAATGCTGTACCCTTCATACCTGAGTTAATTCTAGTATGTCTTTATACTTAAGCTCTGAAACTTTATATGTTCTTAGAACAAGGCCAACAATCGGGATACTGGTGAGGTTGTTGAGGCCATGGCAAAACTCACCTTTGATGATCCTGGTACAGAAGCTTGCTGGAAGAATATTAAGAAGAACACATCAAATGGTTAGACTGATTATTGCAGCATGCAAAAGAATAATCAGGCCATTAAAGGCAAGATCTGCACCCTTGGAGGATTGGATCAGGGACACAATTAGTGTTGAATCTCATGACCATGATAATATGTGGATAGGAGAATCAATTCAAAAGGTTTGAGGAATGTCAGATGTTTTGGGTGTGGAAAACAAGGTCATTTGAAAAGGGAGTGTAAACAGGGCATTCCAAGAAAGAATGTTTATTCCAGGAACAGGGCCAACACAACGCCCCTCCCTTCTGGATTATGCAGAAGGTGTGTGGTAGGGGTAAACATTAGACCAAGGAATGTAGAACAAGAGACAGACAAGATAATCCTTTGCCTCTGTCCTCGGGAAACTCTGAGAGGGGCCTCATGCAGGCCCCCACAGCAAATTCAGTTCAGACCTTTCCTGCCATCATAGAAGAACCCCTACTCAGAGCAATTAAATAACCAAATGCCTATTGCAATAAACCAGGCATTTTAAAATGAGTAGTGTTCATCTTTGTAAAGAAAATAAGAGAAAACACTACTCATTTTAAAATGAGCAGTTGGACCATTTGGCAAGTAACTCAAAATAAGACCATTCAGTGTTTTCTGATTTTCATTAATAACTATCAGGTCTGTGAAATCTCTTGCAATGCACTGTGGAATAATTTTTTTCAGAGTCAGTCCTCTTCTGTAATAAACATGTGAATCTGGTATAACTGTTGAGAGCTGTTCACAGAGTCATACTGTTCTCCCATGAGATCTATCTGATGTCGTGATGAAAATCTTAGGAGATGTCTATCTGTTGAAGTAAGAAGCAATTCATCTGTAGCTTCATCATAAGCGACCTCTTCATCATTGGGTTCTACTGTGGTTTCATCATGGACTCGTTGATTGTCAACAGTCTTGGGAACAGGCTTTGGTGGAGCCTTATCACCAAGTATATTTATGATCCTTAATGTTTAACTTTCCAGTATAATTTTTAACATCTTTACCCTCCTCCATTGGCTGAGCAGGACCTCAGTTGTCATAAGGCCCAGGTAGCCATGAAGATTCATAAACGATCATACAATATTCATAACTCCCCAACTTACTGCTAAGTTAATCGGAGGATTAGGGATAAAGGTCCAGAAGTATGACCAGTCCCCATTACCTGTATAGTTACCATAGACATCATAGCAAGGAACAAAATTGTAGCATTTAGAGGTCTCTGAGGCATTTGATTATCACCTCCCCTTTGTCACACCAATTTTTAAGCTATCCTCAGGTGGGAGAATTAGCTGTCTGTTCCAAAGGCCTTCTGTACTTTTTATTTCCCAGAGGCATCTCAGCCAAGGCTTCAATGAGACTCCTCTTGCTCATGGCAGATTTTTATCAATTTTGATGGAATCTACAATCTTTTATCTCCTATGAAAACATAAGCATACCCTCACTCCTGTCTTAACATTTTCCTGGTTTCTATTTTGATGTGAAAACATTTATAATAAATATTTAAAAAACTCAATTTAGCAGGTTTTTCCACAATCCGATGTCTTTCAGCAGCTGTTGTCCCTGTTTCATTACCTTTTAAATTTTTTATATTAGTAAAGCAGTATGCAGTCTATCCCTAGGGATCCTCATGTCCCTCTTCTGTTTAATAAGCATCTCCTTTGGAGTGTATTTAGATCATTCAACAACTGCTTGTCCTGTAGGATTACATGGTATCCCTGTAATGTGTTTTGTATTATAACGCACAAAAAAATTTGTTACATTTTATTGGAAACATAAGATGAGGCATTATCAGTTTTCACTTATATTGGTATGCTAATTATACCCATTGTTTTTAATAAATGTATAATTATAGTATCAACCTTTTTCAGAGCTTAAGGCAGATGCCCATTGTAATCCAGAGTATGTATCAATTTTATGATGAATATATTTTAATTTTCCAAATTCTGCTAAACAAAATATATCTATTTGCCAAATTTCATTTCTTTATGTATCTTTAGGATTAGTTCCTGCAGGTTAAGGAACTTGATTATACAAAGAACAAGCAAAACAGTTTTTTATAATTTCCTTACCTTGTTGCCAAGTATTGGAAAAATTTTTCCTTAAGTCCCTACTATTAATATGATATTTCTTATGAAATCCTAAATTTCCAACACATTTCTTATCAATAATTGGTTAACCTCTTTATTTTCTTTTGCTAATGGCCCAGGCAACCCAGTATGAGAGCAAATATGGGCAATATAAAATGGGAAATTCCTTTTTTGGATTGCATATCTAGTTGTACAAATAATAAAGTTAATTCTGAATTACCACGAATAAGTTCAGTACTTTTTATATGCAATACAACCCTTTCTGCATATTGAGAATCAATAATTATATTAAGACATTTATTAAAGTTTAATAAAACCATCAGAATAGCATATAACTCTGATTTTTGTAACTGAATCATACGGACTTTGAAGCACTTTACTAGTTTCCTGCTTTATAACCAGGCATTCCTAAATTACTTGCATCAGGATAAAATGTAACAGTCCCAGAAATAGGTGTTCTTTTTATTATGAGGGGAAGAATCTAACCAGTTGATTTAATTAACTGAAGTTTCTCTCTTTTTGGATATTTGTCATTAATTACTCCTAAGAAATTACTATTAGTTCTTTGCCAGTCATCATTAATCACCCATAATTGCACAATTTCAGTGTTAATACAGGGTACAACAATCTCAGTGGGATTCATTCACAACAATTGATGAAGAAACATTTTTTATATAGGTCTTTAACTTTTTACTTTGTCTGTGAGATAGGAAAATCCATTCTAAAATATTATTCTCCCTCTGCATAATGACTCCAGTAGGGGAATGATTGGAAGGTACAATTATGAAAATACATTCAGTTGTGAGATCTAATCGACCCACAGAGGCATTCTGTACGTTTTGTTCTGTTTGGGCTAATTCCCTTTCTGCCTCAGCTGTTAACTGTCTTGGACTGTTTAAATCTGAGACATCTTGCAAAGTTTGAAACAAATGACTTAATTCTTAAATAGATAATCCAATGGCAGGCTGTAACCAATTAATGTCTGTCTTTCTTTTTTTCCATTTTTCTTTATTAAGAAATTTTCTACTCACTCTACATACCACCCACAGATCCCATCTCCTTCCTCCTTCCACCCCCCAGGCCTCCTTCCCAAGCCACCCCACATCTCCACATCCCCCAAATCAAGGTCTCCCATGGAGAGTCAGCAGAGCCCAGCACACTGAGCCTAGGCAGATCCAAGACCCTCCCCACTGCACCAAGGCTCCACAAGGTGTCACACCTCAGGCACTGGATCCACATAAGCCTGCCCATGCACCAGGGACAGATCCTGATCCCCCTGCCTCGGTGTCCCCCAAACAGTTCGAGCCAAACAACCATCTTCCATATACAGAGGGCCTAGTCCAGTCCCATGGTATAGTGCCACCATGAGGACCAGGAACTAGAGCTCTTTTTAATCTTTAAGCTTTTAGCAGCAGTTCAGCTGAGATCCATTCAGATGAGGACTCAGAGGCTTCTAGCTGAGGAAACAGGATCAGGTGAGAAGTTGGCAATGTGAGGTGGCTGTGACTTGTTCTGCTTCTCTGATCTTCCAGCACTCACCCTAATACCTGGCTCCAGGTTTGTTTTTATTTATAAGATCTTTTAAGATGCATACTACAAAAGCTAATGGATGAAAGCTTTAGTCCCTGAAGTCCGAGAGGAGCTGCAGGAACTAACCATATGCAATGAGGGGTTGTAGGACCCCAGGGTGTGCACGCTTTCTCAGAAGCACAGGTAAGGCAGTCTGAGTCTTGGAAGTGGCATCTCATGTGACAGGGACAACCTTGGGGCACAGCCTGACATGTGAGGTCTGACAGTGTCTCAGTGTCAGAGCTGACCTAACTTAGAGGTTGCACAGCTGGTGTCTGCTGCAGAACTAAACTTTTGCTTGTTTTTTGAAGAAAACCTAGATATTTTAGGATCATGGAAGCAATGTTATGAGAGAAATGTTCAAGAACCATCTTAAAGACATCTTTTTCTACTATGTCATTATAGTAAGAAACCCATGACTCTGTACCCATTGCACTTCTCTTTCTATCCCTCCTCAGGGTGACGTTACATCACACCTGAGGCCACTGAGATCTGCTTCCTGTGTTGACCATGCCGGGGTGGAGCTGTCTGGTGACAGGAGCAGGAGGGTTTCTGGGCCAGAGGATCATCCATATGTTGGCTCAGGAGAAAGAGCTGCAGGAAATCAGGGCCTTGTTCAGGTCCTTCACTCCAAAACACAGGGAGGAATTATCCAGTAAGTGACCTGGAGGCTGGTGAACACGGACTGGGCATGGTGAGGGCTTCATTGTCACCAAGTAAGAAACAGGTAGACCTGTGAAGAGCCTCAGCAGGAATAATCACAGTTGAAACAGCACAAAAGGCACTGCATAGTTAGAAAAAGTGGATTCTGGATGACCCAGAACTAGAGAATGTGGGCATGGGCAGGCCCTGGGCCTTCGTGCTGCTCTCCTATTTAGACATTGTAGATCAGTTTTCTCATTTCTGGAAGCATTTCTGTCTTAAAAAGTCTGGACATGGCAATATTGTACAACACTAGCAAAAGATTATTAAAATGGAGACCTGAGCAGTGGGAACCTGCCTCCTTTGAACCTTCTCTTTCCCCTTTGTAGTTTCTTTTTTTGTTGTTGTTTTTATTTTTTTGTTTTGTTTTGGTTTGGTTTGGTTTGGTTTGGTTTTGGTTTTTCAAGACAGGGTTTCCCTGTGTAGCTTTGCACCTGTCCTGGAACTCACTCTATAGCCCAGGCTGGCCTCAAACTCATAGAGATACGCCAGGCTATGCCTCCCAAGTACTGGGATTAAAGGGATGTGCCACCACCACCCAGCTATAGTTTGTTTTTATTAAAGAGTAGGGGAGAGTGAAGTTCATAGCAGGAAGTGATTATAATGTAAATGTAAATTGATGAAGGAAGCAGAGAGGGACGGGGCGGAGTGGGGGGGAGACTAGAGAGCATATAAATGAGATAGAAACAGACTGAGGGCCAGGTGGACTTCATATGTGTCATGGGGATTCCTCCAATGTCTTTCCCTTCTTTCTTCCTCTCTGTCCTTCATGCTCGAAGAAAGTGTCTACAGACTTTACTGGAGAGGTACGTTATGTTTTTCTGCTATCTCTCCCCCACCCCAGGTCAAGTGCAAGCACTAGGCTGACAGTCATTTCCCAGCTGCTCCATTCTCACATCCTTCTGTGGATGTAGCTTGTGAAGGACCCTCACTCTTGTGTGAGGCCATTATGAATGCATCTCTTCCTCCATACTCTCCAGAGTTCATTCAACCCCTTTGCTTAGATGACACCCACCCATCCCTTGGCTTTGTCAGATAGGGTCTGTATAAAACCTCTTATCAGACACCCTATAGTTTGATTTTGATTGTCCTTCCTTCCCAAGGTGAACCAATACCTGGAGCTGGTGTGATGCGGTCCTATGAAGAAGGAAGGTGATTGAGGCCTGTCTTAGTCACTTTTCTGTTGCTGGGATAAGACACCATGACCAAAACAACTTATAGAAGAAAGAGTTTTCAGAGTTAGAGTTTTAAAGTTAGAGTTTTCAGAGAGTTAGAGCTGATGACTGTCACGGCAGGGAGCAGGGCAGGCAGCAGGCAGCATGGCACTGTAGCAATAGCTGAGAGCTCATATCTTGACCCACAAGCCAAGACAGAGAACTAACTGGGAATGATGCAAGTCTTTTGAATCCGCAAATGCCATGCCCAGGGACACACTGCCTACAAAAAGGCAACACCCCCTAACTTTCCACCAACTGGGGACCAAGTATTCACTTATATGAACCTATGAGAGCCATTCTCATTCAAACCACCACAACTCAGTGTCCAAACACTTTAACACACACTTGAGCAACAAAGAGGTTTGGAAAGAGTAGTTCTTGGGCCACACGTACTTGGAATCCATCGTCAAAATAAATTTTATCTGTTTTGTTGCAATGATTAGCATCGTATAATAATGGGTCAGTATTGGTGTGTTAAAAGTAATAGCCTTCAGAGTTTTAACAAACAATAGTTGCAAGGGTCTTGTTCAGCTGGAACCTCCAACTTGTCCCTGCATGGTCTGAGAAGCCCCATTCCTGTCTCTCTCTCCAAACCCTGCCCATTCAGAGAGTCTTCAAACAAACAAACACAAAGTGTGATGTGGGTACATTTCAGTGGGCCCTGCCAAGATATGCCACTAAGAGAAAAATGTGAGCAGTCTGGCAAAGGATCTCCCCTGACCTAAGTTCTGTTCAGGCCAACAGAGACAGATGTAGGAATGTACATCTAACCTCCTTGCACTGTTTTACATCTATCTTCCTCAAACCTTGTTCTCAGGATAGAAGAGGAATTATCATACAAAAATACATCCTAATCCAAAATATCTTGGACACCTGTTGTTGCCTCCTTGGTAGGCCCACTCCATGTGGTCACCTTTAGTTAAGATGGCAATGAAGTCACATGACCTCCCTCTTCTCCAACCCTAGCAGAGATGGCTGCCAGCCTTCTGACTGCACTTCGTTTAGTTTAGATGGTGGAGAACCACGTGTTGTTTCCAGAACAGCTCCAATTTAGAGTTACAAGTTTTAACTTAATTTTTGTTACAGATTTTTAAGCATGCTAGACTTCCTCAGCTGTTTTTTAATACAGTAGAATAGCATAAAACAACTTCAATATTATTTATAACAAAATGGCATATGAATCTCTGTTATTACACTAGATTCAGTGGCCAGAAATCCTAGAGGCAAATTCTGAGCCCAGGCAGATAGTTGCAACAGTAACAGCTGAGATATCACCAAGACACTCAGAACATAGTAAACTCACACAGATGTTTAACCAGACCCAATTCCCTTGACTGTTTTTTTTTTTTTGTAAATGAAGTAGAATAGTTTTAAAAGGAAAACACACACACACACACACACACACACACACACACAGAGAGAGAGAGAGAGAGAGAGAGAGAGAGAGACAGAGATAGAGACAGAGACAGAGACAGAGAAACCTAACAAGAACCAAACAAATACCATGCGCATAATAGTGTTCAGGCAGAACAACATTTTTAATACAATTCCATATTTTCCTTAAAGGAATTAGAAAAAAAATAATTTGTTGACTTTTTTAAGCATGTAGTAATGTTATATTATAAGAACACTGATAACAAAACATACATTCAAACATGAAAGATTTCTGCAGATCTTATATAATCTTGGGACATATATAAATGCATATTTGAAAATACAGGTCTAACATATAGGTCCCTTGGAATTCCAGAACCTCCTGAAATCCCAAAGTCAATAGTAAATTAAAAACATTACATTTTTAGTTTGTAAAATATATAAAATGTTAAAGTATTTGGTAAAAATTACAAAACAACACAAAAAAATCACCAAAACAATTAAAGACAAGGAGAGGTCAGAATATAGATGGCCCACCTTTACCTAAAAGGTGCGAGAGGTGCCACAGTTCTCTATTAAGATCAGATACAAGAAAACTTTGTTGGTTTTGCTCTTCCCTGTATTGATTATTGAACCCTGTGCTTTTCGTTTATTGGGAAAACTCCCCAATATGAACATGGAGAATCAGTTATGCAGGTGATAATACTCTTTGATATCTGTTCACAGTCTACAAAAGTCAATACTGCTTGATGTCATGTGCATCTGTCCCAGAAGTTTCAGGGGGCTCTTTGAGCACTAATGCTAATAGGGTACAAGTCCCTGGGAGGCAAGAAGGCAGTTCAATACCTCTAAATAGCTGGTGTTGGTTCCAGTTTCTGGAGTCTGACACTGAATAGTTTAATTTCGGTGTATTTAAGCACAGCACAATTTAGCAAAAACTTTCTTGTGATAATTTTGCACAATAAAGCATACATACATAAACCTTAAGGAACAAAGTAAGCTAAATAAGTATCAGACATGATCACATGGAAACTCTTTCATTTAGTACATGGGATGCCTTCCTTAAGATGGGTTCTATAGACAGGGAAAATCAACCTAGGATACGGGTCTGGGGAGGATCGAGTGTGATTTTCAAGCACAGACTGTGCAAAGTTGACTAGACTAGAAAGCACATCTGCTCCCAGCCTTCTGGACAGACAGCTGGTTATGCATTCCTTCCCTGGGAGGAACAAGTCTGTGTGCTAACATTCCAGGATCCACTAGTGCTCATCTGTGGGCATGAGGACCTCTGTGCCTCCTACAAGAAGTCCTGTGCCTTTCTGAAATCCTTTTGTAGCTTTCTACACCATTCACAACTAGTCCAACTGTTTCCTTCATTCTGGGTCTTATCTCTCTTTTATAATTTGGGACCATCGTTAGAGAAACAAACAAACCAACCAAAAAAAAGAAAAAGAAAAACAAAAGACTAAAAAACTACCCCTGCCTTCTGCCTTTCTGGACACATTTTCCTATTTTATAAATACCCTCATAAATCGTTATAAAACATGTCACACTTCCCTTCCATACTCAGCTGATTCCCTTTACATACAACAAAATGCTGAAATACATAAACCTTAAATTTCTGCCTCATGTTTTACTATTTTAACTTCCTTACAAATAACCTAGACAACCTATCTCTAAAAAAGCAAACAAAGAAATAAATAACATAGAGAATCTTAGTAATGATTACTATTGATGTGAGGACGCACCATGAGTAAAAACAACTTGGGGAGGAAAATATTTGTTTGGCTTATGCTTCCATATATCACTCTTTATCAACCAAAGGAAATCAGGACAGGGACTTACAGAGCAAAAACGTGGAGGCAGGAGGTGATACAGGGGCCATGAAAGGGTGTGGTTCACTGGTTTGCTCTCATGACTTGCTCAGCCTGCTTTCTTATACAACATAGAGATGGCACCACCCACAATGGGCTGTGCCCTCCCACATGAATCACTAATGATGAAAATGCCCTACAGCTTGCCTACAACCTCACCACGTGGAGGCATTTTTCCCAACTGAATCTCCCTCCTCTCAGTAAGAGGAGAAAATCCTAGTGTCCTTTTGTGTCAGAGACATCTTAATAATGAAAACTCCTTATTTCCCCACCCCCATGAGATCCCAAAACAAAGGGAATTTTGTCTTCTGACTCTATAGACAAGGAGAAAACACAGACGTTTGAGAGGATGACATGGGGCAGCCATCTCAGAGAAGGGTCAGATAGGGGGCAGCAAGCCCTGGGAAACCCACCAGAAGATTAGGCTGGGTGCAGCAGGCCCTAGGAAACTCATCAGATGATGTACTGCCCCTAGACCCAGACAATTAAGAGTCACATAAAAAAAGAGTTCCAGATATTTCCTACCATAACCTAAAGGATATGACAGATTCAATACCATAGATGTCAGAGGGAGCAAGTTTCCTGCAGATAAGAAATGGAATGTCTAATGGTCAGAGAAAGTTTGTCTGCCAACAATATAGGGGCATGACATAAACTGCTAGAGAAGATGGCAATTTCCTTGTAGCTGCAACGCTCCAATCTGTTCAAACCAAGCATCTCCAACCTGAAGTAGGCACCAATCCTGAGCTTGTGACTCTACAGAGTTGGAATTCCCCTAGACTCCCAACCCTAATCACTATAAAAATCCCATCCTGTTACTGCTTAAGGTCCATCTCACTCCACTGCTGTGATGGTTGTAAAAGGGACCTGGGTTTGAACTCGTGAAATTAAAAACCTTTTTGCTTTTGCATTCAGATTGGTCTCTTGATGGTCTTTGGGGACATCGGACTTTGGGTGCAACAATGTTAACTGATTTCCTCAAGATCCGCCAGCTAAAATAAGACAAAGTAGGGTAGGGGTCCAGGAGGTCTGGTGGGAGCCTCTGTCCTTTCAAAGGCTGGAGTGTGGTAGCTTCTCTCTGAATCTCCTACTGCAGCTCACAGCGCAGCATCAGCTCTATGATGTGGCAGTGAAGAACAACTGCCAAGTCCTGGTACCTGCTGCCTTCCCAGAAGGCTTTAACCCTTCATCCTCTATGTCAAGGCCTTCTTGGGGTTCCCTGACAGGGGAGAGGTGGACTACAGTAGACACATTCAGCAGAGATTGTATTATGTCCCAAGAAGGATTTCTCCAGCTCTGGATTTCTACTTCTGCCTCTATCAAAGTATTCTTTGGCATTCATTGCATATTTAGTTGACCTGATTGTCTCAAAAGAGTTTATTTCAAAAGGGTCTTGATCTTAGAGTGCATAGAGAAGTGGGCATGGATTGGATGGAGGCAGAGGAACATAGAGTCTTCACTAGAATGATGTTTGTCCTTAGACATGTCCCTGGAGCTTTCTGCACTTTCCCCAAACTATACCAAGGACACTAGAATCCTAAGTTCATGACACAGCTGGGAAAGGAGATATCAAACTGAGAAAGTCATGTGTAAATTATGAGGTTTGAGCCAGTGTGGGGTATTGATACAGGCTGCATTTGCCACACCATCAATTTTGTGAACTAATATGGGTGACATTGTGATTGCTAGCTAGTTTTGTCCTATAAATTTCAGAGGAATCTGAAGCTATCCATTGCCCCTGGATGAAGTATGTTCCCTTGGAGGTGACCTTATATACAATGTATCTGTCCAATAAGAAATGCTCAGCTAAACCCATCACAGGAGCCCATTCTGAGTTCTCTCCCTGGGGCTCCAGTTGCCTCTTTGTAATTGAGCTCACTCTTCATTTGTGCTCAGCCCAGACTCAGAACTTATCAAGACCTGTCAGGGGCAGAGCTCAGTTTTCCATCTTCGTGTCTCCCTCTTCTGGGTCCTCCTCACTGGAACTCTGGAGGACACAATCTGATTAACCTGTTGCTTGCCCAGGTTACTCTTATGTCTTCATGCCTGTCCATTAGCAACCTGAGAGCACTGTTAAAGCTTTCCAGGGCAGGACTCTGCCTCTGTTTCTCCTTCAGTCTGAATCCACAAGTGATTCCCCGTCCTCTATCAATTAAATCCTAATTCCCCCTCTTCACATTGGACGACCATCCCATCTCTGGTTGCTTTAATCACTGTATGAATTCCCATAACTCTGCTTTTATGTGCAAAGCACAAATCATATCTCACTGCTCAGATTCCTTTTCTACAAAGGGAGGGGTAGACACAGATGCTTCCTCCTTCCCTACAAATGACACATTCTGATTATTGAGCATTTATTATTCCTTCAGTACAAAGGCCTCCTTGCCAGGATTCCCTCACTCTGAGTGCCCTTAAAGGCCTAGATCACAGATACTGTGTCAGGAAACTTCCATCCTGTGCAGAAAGCTTCCCAGTGACCTGTCTTGTGTTCCTCAGAGCTGCAGACAAAAGCCAAGGTCACAGTGCTGAAGGGAGACATTCTGGATGCCCAGTGCCTGAGGAGAGCCTGCCAGGGCGTCTCTGTTGTCATCCACACCGCTGCCAGCCTTGACATCTTGGGTGCCATTCCCAGACAGACCGTCCTGGATATCAACCTGAAAGGTACAGTGCCTCTGGAGGATATGGAGAGAGTGGAAAATCAGAATGGTCAAATAGCATGAGGACAGGAAGGGAAGTGCCAGCCATGGAACACCTGCTGTGCTCTGGGTCTGTCAGATGCCTCTGCTTGTCAGCCCAGCTAGCAGAACTCAGGGCGGTTGTCCTTGATGTTTAGAAGAAGAGATTGGGCTGAGAGAGGAGAGAACAGAGGCCCCACAAGTAGTCACAAGGAGAGAAAAGACATAAAGCCACACCCAGGACTCTTCAACAGCCAGGAAGTTCTCCTGCCCCTCCATGCCAAAGAGAGTGGACTCCATCTCCAAATGTTTGATGTCCACCCACCCACTGCCGTGAATGCCCACAAAGTTTTCCTAGTGAGATCTGAGTTTGCTTCACCCAGCAGGACTGCATTACAGAATTGCTTGACCACGTGCATGGTTACCAGGTGATTGAAAAGGGTCTGCACTTGACTGAGCTAGGGGGAGGTCTTTTGCTCCACCCCTTGGGTTTCCTCTACCTAGCCTTTTAGAAGGGACAGGAGGAGGTAGTATATGATACAGTCCCTCTTGAGGCTATCCTGTGTTTCTATGTTTCCATCTCCTCTATCCTTCTATCTAATATCTCTTATTCCTCACTACTCAAGAGTAATCTGTCATAAAATATGGAGCCAGTGTCCCAGCTGGGCTCCCACAAATGGTGCCAGGACTGGAATAGGGGACTTGGCAAAAGGAGAGTGGAGGTGTCTCAGGTGTAAGGGGGCATGCCCGGTAAGGAATTAAAAATAAAGGTGACGGTATTTGATTCTAAAGAGTGAAAATTAGGTGGCTTAATGCTGAAGTTAAAAGTGAGTGAGGCTGCAATGTATATTTCTCTCTATCTAGATTACTTTCTTTTCCTCTCTCTCTTAATTTCCATCTATAAAAATTAAGGAAAAATATAAGGTAAAATGTATGAATATTGTGTAGAAAAAAACTTAGGATAAGATAAGCAACAAGATAGAGGAACTATCTCCTTGATTTTTCCAACTATGGGACTATGAATGCAAACTCCTGGGGAGGAAATCAGAGATTTTCCTCTGATTTCTGATCCCCAAAGATCAGAAAAATGGGCAGACAAAGATTCCTGTGGAAGATTTGGATTGTGAACAGTTTAGATTTTGTCCTGAGTGGCAGAGGAAAGGACTTTCCCTGAGGCAGATTAAGATGACATAAAACTCTTCACTCCACTGACACTGTTACTATATGATGACATCAAACCACCAGAATTAGTTTCCTTAGCCGTGAAGCCAAGTTTAGGGAACAGAAGTCTTGGGGAAAATTTAGTAATCTTTCTCTCAAAAACGGAATGCTTTCTTGGGAAAAAACTTAGTAATCTCTCTCTGAAATACTAGAAGCTCTTCGGGTCTTCTCAGATTTTTTTTTTTTTCTCTTTCTAAAATGGCAAAAATTAAATCACCTGGAAATAACATCCATCAGTATGGGAAAATCACCTGTAATTGCTCTAGAAAAAACAAACATCCACTTGGAACAGGGCAAATCCTCTCTGCTAGTCCTATCTCCCCTTCCAGTCGAAATTAGAAAAACAGCAGATACTTTAGACCCTTGCCAAAATCCCCTGTGGCTAGAGCCTAGCAATCCATTCTTTGGAGAGTACAGGCAGAGATCTGAGTGGGTCAGCTTCCCCACTGAAGATGGAGCCCAAGCAAAGGCAGAGCAGAACCCAGGGGAAAAAGCTGCTGGCATCAAAAAGCAGGATCTAAGTTCTCAGCAGCTATAAAGGCAGCATGGGAAGAGCTAAGGCAAAATTTGCATAAAAACAAGGCCAGTGGGAACAGGAGAGTGGCCTGCTTGACTACCAGCCCCAACAGTAGGTGGAGCTATGCAGCACCCAAGGCCGTGAAAAGAACATCTCTCAGAAAGTTCTTTCGTTTCTTTCTCTATTGGGGGGAAAATCTTGCTAAAAAGGCTCTATTTTCAAGTACTCTCTTTACTTTTTCACCGATCCAGTAAAGCGAGGTGGGGTGTGGGCAAAAGGTTACTGAAATGCCTGTCTGAGTGTGCACCTGTCGACAGGTGTGGACCACTCTGGAGACAATGTTAGGTGAAGGAAGTACACCTGTCAATGCCAGCAGCTCAGGGAGAACAGAAACCTCCTGTGTCAAAAAGGTCCCCTGATCTTGACTTTCAGTATGAACACAAACCCTGTAAATGGAAACCGGACTGTGGTAGACCAGAAAAGCAGCAGGGGAAACGAAGTTCATTTGTAACAGGATGAAGATATATAAAATGGCAGCTTGGGAGATGTAGTCCATAAAGTGGTTTGTAACAGTGTGACAATATAGAGAAAGGTAGTTTGGGAAATGAAGTCTGTAAAAGAGATACTGGTACTGCACTGCCCCAAAACTCTTGTTTTATCAGTGTTTTTCCAGCTCAAAATGCTATTTTTTTCCACAAGCTTTGTTAGCTTGCCTCTCAAGAACTAGAAACAGGTGAACAGTTGCCTGTCAGGAAGCAATTAAAGTGCTGACACTGTTTGTCAACAAGTCACTTTGAAACCTTTTAGAAAACTAGGGAAAGAGGTCCGTATACTGGGAAATTGCTTTGGGTCTGAAGAAAGAAAAAACTTTCGGGCAAATAAAAAAAAATAAGACTCTTGTGTTGTGCTTGAAATGCAAGAGAGAAACATTGGCATCATTGAATCGCTCATGATAATGTTAAAAAGCAGCTTTAAAAAATTAAGAAAAGGGCCGGGCGGTGGTGGCGCACGCCTTTAATCCCAGCACTTGGGAGGCAGAGGCAGGCGGATCTTTGTGAGTTCAAGGCCAGCCTGGTCTAGATGAGCGAGATCCAGGAAAGGCGCAAAGCTGCACAGAGAAACCCTGTCTCGAAAAACCTAAAAAATAAAAAAAATAAATAAAAAATAAATAAAAAAAAATTAAGAAAAGGGAATTTTACCCTCAGTCAAGCTTACAGCCACTAATGAATTAGGCTCTGACTTCAAACTGTCAGGAAAACTCTCAGAATGATATCAAAGCTGACTATTAACTCGGAACAGGAAGTAACTGCATACTTCCTGTCTTATTATAGTTCTGTTAAGAAATCTCTTCTAGATGTTTGCTAATAGATTTTGATTTTGAATATAAGTTAGATCGGTTAAGAGATTCTTCTAGATAAGTTTGTAAAATAGTTCTATAGAGTTTCCTTTTGAATTAAGCATGTAAAAATGTAAATATTGAATGTGAAAGTATAAATATTGAATGTAAAAAGTATAAATGTTGAATGTAAAAAGTATAAAATGTTTAATGTAAGAAGTATGAATGTTTAATGTAAAAAGTGTAAATGTTGAAAGTAAGTTTATAAGAAGTTTGTAGTGATTTATAAGAAGTTTGAAGTTCATACTAGAATTGCTTTTGTTACTCTTTTGCCTTCAGATATATTTGAACACTTTTTATGATAGCTCAAAATATAATTTTATGGTCTCAGTGGCCCCTGGAAAACTTAAGCAAAAAGGTATCATAATTAGGGGAGCTTTTCTGTCTTCTTCCTAGATGTTTCCACTCCTTCTGTTTTTGTTTAGAAAGGGGTAGGCCTCCCACAATCAAGTTAGTTTGTAAGTGTCTTTATAATTGGCATGGTTTTGTTTACGTGAGTGAATACTAAAAGAGCTTTGAAATGGCTGTTTTTTTCCTGGGAATCAAAATAGTCTCTTGAAAATTTTATTGAACATTTGCTAGGAAAGAGTATTGATTTAGAAAAGAGACTTGGTGCAGCTAAGACTGCTGTCATCACCTTAGACCTATTCCAAAAGGGATATTCCATCTTTTTTATCCTCTACTCCTTTACTAGGAGGTGTGGCAGCTATGGAGATCTCTGTGGATGTTTGCAAGATGTTAGTAGGGACCTGGGCCAGAGTTAAGTTAGGCTCTGTACCCCCTCCTGCCAGGGCTGATAACCAAAGATGGGCCACTTTCTTCTTGATAGCTTCCTGAATCTGTGTATGTAAAATTAATCAAGAATGACCTAAGACAGGCACTTTCTATCTGAGGGACCTGGGAAGCCCATTATTATATAAAGAAAGTGGAGTTGTTGAAGCTCATCAAGGTTTCCTAGTGATTTCTGAGCATGCTTTACCCGACAGAGCTGCATTAGAGGATTGTTCGACCCCGTGTGTGGTGACCAGGTGATTGGAAAGGGTCTGTACTTGGCTGAGCTAGGAGGAGGTCTTTTGCTCCACCCTTGGTACTCCTATAAATCGCCCCTTAGAAGAGACAGGAGGTGGGGTTGAATAATGTTCCAGGCCAACCCAAGGCTATCCTGTGTATCTTTTGGTTTCCATCTCCTCAATCCTTCTATCTAATATCTCTTATCCCTCTCTCCTCAAGAATACACTCAGGTGAAATGTGGGAACCCATCTCCCTGCTGGGCTTCTACACACTGCCTCTCTGGACCAATCCCTGACCTTTCCTCAGTAGAGAGCCATCAAAACCGCTCCACAGGGGTCTGCCAGAAAGAATGATCCAGCACTTGTTTTCTAAACAGCAATGGTTTTCCAATTTTTACAAGGTCATCTCTTCAGATCAGTGTTAGTCCACTCTTGAAGACTGGTCCTAGAGTCTCTTCCTCATATCTCCATCCTTAAATGGTTAGTGCCTTGGAAAGTAGATTTGCAATATACTTTAACAAAGGCCTTTACTATATAATATGATCACTCTGATTTCCCACCAAAAGCCAATCTTCTTAGTATCACTGTTTTCCAAGGTCCCATCTGGCATGTATCCTCCATGTGACCTCCAAATTTAGTGACTTGGGCTGCTTTTCCAAATCAACTAATTATTTGGGAATGGCCATTACCAACTCAAAAGGATCCCTATTACTTCTACCTAGCTACTTCCCTCATACCCTGCCCTGCACATTTTTGGGTAAATACTCAGATCCTCTGTTCTGTGTTAGTCTTAACTAAATGAGAAAAAAATTAGTTTAATACTAAACTAAACTAAACTTTAATACTATAAAGAGTGTATATTGCATGCCCAGATGGAGTGGTGCCCATCTGTAATCCTAGCACTCAGGAGGCTGAGTCAGGAAGATCATACCTTAGAACCCAGTCTGGACTACATAGGAATAAGACTCCATCCTAAAAATAAGATAAAATAAAATAAAAATACATAATGCCTCTTCGTTGTACCTGAGTGGGCATGCTGTAATTCTGAACTACTTCTGAGAATATGGTAACTTGAATTTTTGGATTAATTAACAGCCCTCCTCTAATGAAATGAAATACATAAAAATAAGTAACTCTTTGCTTTTCTTTGGAGGAGGAGCCTCTTTGAATTTCTGTTGTTGCCGTTGTTTCAGGGATGAAACCTACTCAAAAGGCAAAGGCTTAATCACTGAGCAACATCTTCAAAATAATGGGAATTTCTTGATGTCAGTTTCTAGAAAACATAAAGAAATAATTTCCCAGAATAAAAATCTAGGGAAGTACTTTCCAGAATAAAAATGCTGTTTTTCTGATTCATAGTAGTCACCTGTAGAGAGGGAACCTCAGCTAAGAAATTGCTCCCATCAGATTGGCCAGGGGTTATATCTGTGGGTTATTTTCTGGATCAGTGATGGATATGGGAGGGCCTGGCTTACTGTGGGGTGTGTCATCCCTAGGCAGGTGGTCCTGAGTTATACAGGTAAACAAGCTGAGCACATGGGAAACAAAGCAGTAAAAAACATTCCTCCATGGTCCCTGCCTTTGTTCCTGGGTGACTTTCCTCAGTGAGACACTGCGATGGGAACATAGAAGCCTTATAAACTGTTCCCTCCACACATGCCTTTGGTCATGTGGTTATCACAGCAACAGAAAGCTAACTGGGACAGAGGTTCAGTGGGATGGGCCTAGTCTACCATGTGGAAGACCCTAGGTGTGATCCCAACACTGAAAAGAAGAATAATTATATTCAAACAGAGAGAGAGAGAAAAAGACAGAGATAGAGAGATGGGGAGAGACAGAGAAAAGGAAAGAGAGAGCTCTATAAACTCAGAAACCTAGAAATCCCTGTTTTTCAGAATCTAAATGTCGCCTCTTTTAATTTGGGGGTTATTCTGTGGCTATAGAATGGCAATTTGAGTCAGGATCAGGTAAGGATGTATTTAGATCTGTAGTAGCCCTTCCATTGGGGTTGAGGTGGGGTTGACTCTGACTCCACAGTGGACCCTTGAGCTACTTTCCTACCAGTAACGGTGAACTCCCCATGCTCAGGTACTCAGCTCCTGTTGGATGCTTGTGTGGAAGCCAGTGTCCCGGTCTTCATCTACAGCAGCTCAGTGTCTGTGGCTGGACCAAACTCCTACAAGGAGGTCATCCAGAATGGCTGCGAGGAAGACCATCATGAAAGCAGATGGTCTAATCCCTACCCATACAGCAAAAAGATGGCTGAGAAAGCAGTGCTGGCAGCCAATGGGAGCAGCCTGAAAGATGGTGGCACTTTGCGTACTTGTGCCTTAAGAATCCCACTCATCTATGGGGAAGGGAGTCAACACGTTTCATATGCAGTGAATAGAGCACTCAAGAACAATGGCATTCTTGACAGTTTGGGCAAATTCTCTGTGATCAGCCCAGTGTTTGTGACTAATTCTGCCTGGGCACACATTCTGGCAGCCAAGGGCCTACAAGACCCCAAAAAGTCACCAAATATCCAAGGTCAGTTCTACTACATCTCAGATGAAACCCCTCACCAAAGCTCTGTTGATTTATATTATGCCCTGAGCAAGGACTGGGGCCTCCGCCTTGATTCCAGTTGGAGCCTTCCTCTGCCCATGCTCTACTGGCTTGCCTTCCTGTTGGAAACTGTGAGCTTCCTGCTGCGTCCAATCTACAGTTACCGGCCTCCTTTTAACCGCTTTTTGGTCACAGTAACAAATAGTGTGTTCACCTTCTCCTACAAGAAAGCTCAGCGAGATCTGGGCTATGAGCCTCTTGTCAGCTGGGAGGAAGCCAGGCAGAAAACTTCTCAGTGGATTGGGTCACTAGTGGAGCAACACAAGGGAAAACTGAACACAAAGACTCAGTGATGTGATCATGGCAGGGACTCCAGAAGAGTCTAAGATACAACCCAACTCTTACACTTCCCTTTGACACACTGGCCAACTTGTCTTCAGGTCACCGAAGCCTTGCCAGGCACTGACCCAGTCCCAAACTTTTGCCCTTAGCACTTGCCCAGAGACACACAGGCTGTGCCTCAGCTGCTATGAATAAAGGCTCAGTTTCTAGTGGTGAACTGCCCAGAGCCTCCTGTAACTTAGAAATTCATCAGAATTTCCATTTCTCCTCTCACAGTCCCAAAGCATTGCTTGTCTGAGAAAATTCCCATTGCTTCATGAAGCTCAAAGAAAGAACAATAAAAAGGTTTCATGTCTAGTCCAGAGAAGGTTGGTCTGGGGAGTCTTGATTCCAGCTTTCCTTTCTATAGCCAATTAAGGCCATAGTGAGAACAGAAACAGAATGTCACTCTCACAGAGGTGGGCCCTAGCATGGACTAGATGACTGACCTGGATTGCCTCAGTTCAGCATCACCAGGTCACAGACAGTATCTTGCTCATGGTCTTAGGAAATTCAAACCCACTTCCTCCCACTGAATGGTGGAGCTCACACTGGTTGTCAGTGGGTACAGCACAGCCCTTGAACATAATCTGTTCTTCCAGGGCAGAGTCTTGCCTCCCTTGGTCTCCGTCCTTCTTACCCTTCCTACCAACTATACATGGGGCTCTCTAGAACCAGGACAAGCCTTGAGAGCTACCCAGGAGACTGTGAGCACGGTGACAAATGGCCCTGGGCATCATAGATGATCTGAGAGTCTCCTTGTAATGAATTCCCCCAAATGTACCTCCTCCTGAGTCTATGATGTGAAAGTCTGCTATCCCTACCTCTAAATGTAGCTGCCTCTCCATCTCTTTTCCTCCATTTCCCAATCTCTTAAAGCTATAGTGCTGTGGGATGTTCTGTGTGTCAAATGTGTTGCTCTGATTGGTTAATAAATAAAACATGCTGCCAGTCACCACCATGACAAGCAACATGCAAAAGATACCCATAAGCCACAAGCCAAGTGGCAACTTATAGATTAATAGAAGTGGGTTAATTTAAGATATAAGAACTAGATAACAAGAAGCCTGCTGTGGCCATACAGTATATAAGCAATGTAAGTCTCTCTGTGTTTACTCAGTTGGGTCTGAGTGGCTGTGGGACTGGCGGGTGAGAGAGATTTGTCCTGACCATGGGCCATGCAGGACTGGAGAACTCTACCTACAAATGGCACCCAACGGGTTGGCAAGAGTTTCCACTTAAAACCTGAGAAAAAAAAAGATTCTAAAATGGAGCAAAAAAACAGCTTCCTACTTGTCTCTCTCAAGTTAGTGGCAGCCTGCAGGTTTGAGCTACTCTATGGTGGGTCCGTGGCGTTCCTGCAGGCTTGACCTACCCTATGTTACACTGAGATGTCTCCAAGCTGCCCACTATGCTGTGTGTTGGATATAGTTTTTGCTAGTTAAAAAAAAAAAAAAGAGGTTTCTGGGCTACACGCTGCTATGATAGAAGCATAAACCACTGTTTCTGAGAATTGATGTCTCCCAGAGCTGGCGGAAAACGTACCACCACCATGTTGGGAAGCTGAGGTGAGCGGAGCCAGCATTCACAGCAGCCGTTTAGGTCTTACAATTGCTACAGTTTAAAACAATTGATTCACAATAAGACAGACTCAAATGAAATGCACCTCTAAATGGTTTACAATATGTATAAAAATGTACGTGGGCTTGGAAGAGAAAAGAAAGGAATATAGACAGCTATATTAAAGAAAAAAAGTTTTAAAATAAAGTCTTTAAAGAGACACTAAAGGTAATATAAAATATAAGCCACGTAAAGATAGAGATCACACAGAGAATCTCGATCATGCTGTCTTTGGGATTTTTAACTGCAGAGAGACATTTGATTGTAAAGGCTGCTGAGTTAAACTAATATGTACATTTTAAAGGTACCTTGACTTCAAAATTTGGATGTAAGGATATGTTGCTTTGGAAAGGAGGCTCTGCTTTTGTTTCCACAGAAAGCCAGAGGCTATGGATTTGTTCCAGATTAAGATACATCAGTTTTGACCAACCAAGACCCCCGAAAAGGTCTCCGATGATACCAGGGCCCAAATGATCCAACATCCGGAACAGTTTCAGGCAACTGGCTCAGATGATACACCCTCATGGACTACCCCATAATCCTAAAATTTTCTTTGTGTCCCCATAAGATACAGTGCCCCCTCCAGCAGGAAGTAGTAAGAGAAGCTACGCCCAAATTCCCAAATATACCAACCTGGCTTTGGAGATGGAATTGGCTCACTCCTTCTCTAAACCCAGGCATATTGCTAAAAGAAAAGGTTAAGAGGTTCCTTTGTCCCATATCAGAAGAGCCCTCTGGTGTGGGACTGAGAAAAACCAATATTTTTATTTAAATCAGGTTAATTATAAATATGATCTCTTTCTAAAGAAAAAGGGGATATGATATAGATATGATAGGATGAAAGAGTAGATTATTGAATCTACTTTTAAAGAGCAAATTGTTTAAAAATGTTTCACATTGCTAGAGATTTTAGTTTATTGATACAAGTTTAAACTTAATTTGTTATACTGTATATATATTTCTACTCTCGTTTGAGGCATTATGTTTTTGTAACTCATTTAAATTGTAATGGATAACGAAGAAATACAGATTAATAATTAGTCTTCTATGATAGTCAAACTTATAGTCATGTTTTCTAGGTATATATAGATATAATTCAGTTAGGTAGGTAATCTTCAAACACTTCAAAGACCTACAGAATATGGCATTTAAAATGTTTTAAAAATTTAGACTTTCTGGACAAAGAGACATGTCTGCTCCTGGCAGCACCGGATTTACTTCAGAGAGGAGGATGGGCGTCAAAGACACTCTATATGGAGTTTATTTTCACCTTGGCAAAAATAGCCATTTGGGCAGGAAACTGTTCTTGCCTGGACTGCTTGATCGACTGGACATGCAGGACCAATAGGAAGGTGACCACTAAACTTTGCTTGGTGAAATAGTCCTTCAGGTTCCTGCTCCGCAGAAGAAACTGCCAGACATTCTATAGGACACAGAGAGAAATGACTGAGAGAATCTAGGACTGTGGAATGAAGACAGATGCCCCAATTTTTCAAAGGAACATTAGGTGACTGTCCAGGCTGCCAGTTGTCTCTGTCTACTCTTGCAAGACTCCTGAAAGTTGCTTGCATCCTTTTCCCAATTCTCAGGTAATATTATATCCTTCTGAGGTCTTTGATGTAGCTGAAGACTAGATAGGTATAATTTTCCCTAGTTATGATAATAGATAAGTTAGATGTGAAACCTTAGACTCAAAAATCTAGGATGGATAGGATATCTTCTTTAAATTTGCCCAATAGATTAGATATTATAAATAAACTAGATATTATAACTGTAATTCTTGCTTGATAATTGTTTTGTTATCTGTAATTTTACTATGTGAAAGTTAAAACCTTCCTTTAAAAAAAAGGGGGGGGCAGAAGTGCTGTGGGATGTTCTGTTTGTCAAATATGTTGCTCTGATTGGTTAATAAATAAAACACTGATTGGCCAGCAGCCAGGCAGGAAGTATAGGTGGGACAAGGAGAGAGAGAATTCAGGGAAGTGGAAGGCTGAGGCAGAGAGACGCTGCCAGCCACTGCCATGACAAGCAACATGTAAAAGATACCGGTAAGCCACAAGCCATGTGGCAACTTATAGATTAATAGAAATGGGTTAATTTAAGATATAAGAACTAGATAACAAGAAGCCTGCTGCGGCCATACAGTTTATAAGCAATATAAGTCTCTGTGTGTTTACTCGGTTGGGTCTGAGTGGCTGTGGGACTGGCAGGTGAGAGAGATTTGTCCTGACCATGGGCCAGGCAGGACTGGAAAACTCTAGCTACACATATCCTTCTATAGCCTTAGCATCTTTCCTTCCCCTCCCTCCCTCTCATCCCTCAGCTTCCCTGAGCAGAGGAAGCCAATCAGGACAGGTTTGAGGCCTTACAAGATAAGAGTCAGTAGCTGACTATAGAACCCACAGTTGAACAAGGCCCTGTGCTGTGGGATGTCCTGTATGCTGTAAGTATATGTTGCTATGATTGATTGATAAATGAAACGCTGATTGGCCAGTAGCCAGGCAGGAAGGATAGTGTAGGTGGGACAAGGAAGAGGAGAATTCTGGCAGGTGGAAGGCTGAGGCGAGCAGATGTGGCCAGCCACCGTGAGGAGAAGCATGATGTAAGACACCGGTAAGCCACAAGCTAGGTGGCAAGGTATAGATTTATGGAAATGGGTTAATTTAAGATATAAGAACAGATAGCAAGAAGGCTGCCATGGCCATACAGTTTATAAGTAATATAAGTCTCTGGGTGTTTACTTGGGGGAGGCTAGTGGGAGAGATTTGCACTGACTGCCTGCAGGCCGGGAAACAGGAAAACTTCAGCTACAGCCCTGTCTGCTCAACCAGACATCATAAACCTGAGGGAGGTGTGGGGACACAGTATAGAGAAAAGAAAACTGTCTCTTGTCACAACTGGGTAGTAATTCACCTGCCTTTTGGTATCACAGACAACAAGAAAGTCTCATCCAGCATCAATATTTCTTTCTCACCCCACATTAATTAATGTTGATAGGATGACATTGATTGGGACTGAGCTCCTGTACAAGGATCAGGAGACAAGACCATGCTGAAGTTCTATACAGCAAACCAAACCTAAGAGTGTTTTCCTGGTTACTGCAGTATCAGGAGAGAGAAACAAGCACCATTTTCAAGCAGGCCATTTATAGCCCAGGAAGCCCCACTTGGTTTCACATTAGCAAGGCGTCATCTGGAAGTGGACCCTCTGCCTATGTCAGCCAGTTCTGCTTCCTTTGCCCTGCCAGGCCGAGAGAGCCCCAGTTCGGCTCACTGGACAGTGTTCTGTGGTAAATAAGGAAGAGTCACCTGTTTCTGGGAGTAAAAGTAAATTCCAAGGACGATTTCTAGCCACAAGAGGCTACATGTTTCTGTTTTGACTCCTCATCCATCAGTTCTTTGAGAGGACACTCACTAAGGATGTAGCTTCAGCATTCACTCTATAAGAGGGAGAGGAGATGCTCAGGCTCCACCCACAAGGACACAAGTAAGAGCTCTCACCTGGCCCCCAGGTTGTGGGCAGCTGAGGACTGCAGCTCATACACCCCAGGCAGCTTGTCCACAGTGAGTGTCCGTGAGCCCTGGGTAAACTGAACACCTTCTACAAGCCTGTTCCATTAGCTCAGAAGGAAAGGCTATGGTGGGGTAGGAGAAAGGATCTTCAATCTTGATTTCTGCCAACTTAAATCCCTCATTGAATTCACTGGTCCATTTCCTCAGGGGAAAGCAGAATCCCAAGGTCTAACCAGGGTGAGTGGAAAGAAAGGAGAGTGACCTGGTTTGTGCATCTAGCCTGACAAGTATAAGGCCATAGAATCCTCTGGATAACAAAGACCCTCCCACAACCCTTACCAGCTCAATCTAGATACAGAGTTGCTGGTGGCAGTTAGAGCTCCCACACACAGGAGCCATGTACTGCATGCAATCCACCACAAGGAGGCAGTAAAGGCACAGGAAGATTGGCAGCTGCCCCAGCCTGTGAGCTTCCTCCTCTTTTCCATTGGATTCTGCAGTCTGTGGCCAAGGAATAAGGGAAGCTCAGAGATGTGCTCACCCACAGGTTTAAGTGTGACGTACAAATGATGGAAGGGAATGGAGTTGGACAGAAGGTGTCTGGAAAACTTCAGAAACATAGCGGGACTCTAAAGAGTGTCAGGTGGGTCCATACAGGGAGGACAGCCCGAGAGATGGTGCAAAGGAGGAGTGTGCAGGTGGGGGAGGAGGAGGGCCAGTGAGTAAGGAGGCTGGACACCACTTAGCAGGGTTTGCTGAGAGACAGTGGGTGTCCTGGGTGCCAGACAGAAATGGACACTAGGCAATGGTGGCCTTGGGGGACCCAGCAGAGTGTTCAGTAGATGGTCTGTTTAAGAGGCCACCTGCAGGAGAATGTCCAGAGACAATGCTTGTTCCTTGATCTCCAAATACTGGAGTGTGAGCTTTGGGCAGCAGAGTGACACCACACAGCTCAAGGAAGAGGGGGAGTGGCCCCTGCCCTCAACTGAGTGTGGATCCTGTTTCTTTTTTTCTTTTTCTTTTTTGTTTTGTTTTGTTTTGTTTTTGTTTTTGTTTTTCGAGACAGGGTTTCCCTGTGTAGCTTTGTGCCTTTTCCTGGAACTCCCTTTGTAGACCAGGCTGGCCTCAAACTCACAAAGATCCACCTGCCTCTGCCTCCCGAGTGCTGGGATTAAAGGCATGCGCCCTGTTTCTTAATCAGATGGTGGGATGCTCCAGTGACTCAACTGTTTCCCCTTGGTGTGAGTCCTCAGTACACACTTCATCGAAATATGAACCTCAGAAAGTTCGATATGAGCTTTAATTAAAGAGATGCAATCTGAGGAAAAAGAAGTATGAAATCTAAGAAAATGTATTTGATGGTGACCCCAGGCCCCTGGCCCCATTGCTCCATCCCTGATCCAGATTTACAGTCTAATAGAGAGAAAAATGTGACAGTTGTAGGGGCTCTAGACAGAAAGGTGCACAGTGTCCTGAGAAGGTCAGGTGCTAAGTGAAGCAGTATTCCTGCTGGATGAGGGAAGTACATACCGTCAGCTTTAGCAATGAATAATGGCAGTTAGAAGACAGGCCCCAGGCCCCACTCAATACACTATGGAAAGCAGTAAGTATTTAACTTCAGCTTCCTGGAAAGCATCCTGGGGCAGATGGATGAGAAAAGATGAGGGGACACCCAAAGATTCTAGCAGCAAAGAACAGGCCTTATGCATGTGATTGTAACAAAATGGAGGCCTGATGCATGTGACTGCAGTAAAGTGGATGCCTGATGCATGTGACTGAAGCAAAGTGGAGGCCTGATGCATGTGAGTGCAGCAAATGGAATTCAGGTCTAGTGAGGCAAGCTTGGGAAGAGACACCAGGGAGGATTAAGTGTCCTTACTGCAAACTCATGTGCGCATTTGCCCCAGATACAATCTGATGTCACACAGTGCCCTCTGCTGGTATGTTTTAAAAATCGTCTTGACAGGGCCTAGAATCACCTGGGAAGGCAGTCTTTACAAGGAATTATGTAGACTAGGTTGGCTGCTTGCATGGCTGTTCTTAATCAACGTGAGAAGGTGTGAGAGTGAAGAAAACTAAGGGGACCAGAAGCAGCAAGCAGGCAGCATGGATGCATTTGCACCTTTCTGCTCTTGAATGTGTATGTGAAGTGACCAGTCTCTTAAGTCCCTGCCTTGACTTCCCCGGAATGACAGACCCTAACCTGTGATAGTACACCAAACTCTTTCCCCCTTATTCAGCTTCCGGCCAGGGAATTTGTCACAGCGACAGAAGTGAAGCCAGAATCCAAGCATTCAGTCCCTTCTGCTGGAACTCCAAACCCTGCATGCTTTCTCTTCTCTCTGGCAGCCTAGCTTTGCTGCAGTTATCAGCATCCCTTGCCTCCTCCCCCATTCAGGTCTTACTGCCTGGATAGTCATCCATTACACCCTTCTCTGATCCCTCTATCACT